TATTAAACCAAATATTATTAATAACAAGGTTATTTTTTTTTTTTATTAAATTTCCTCTTAAATTATAATGAAAAATTTCACTTTAATCAAATTCTTTGTCTTTTTAAATTTCGAAAATGTGATATTTTGCCTTTACAAAGACATTTCGGTGGGCCACAAATATGCATTTGCATGATTCAATTCAGAGTAATAGCAGTTGGTAGCTGGCAGCAATTGAAGCTGATAGCCATTGAATGCAGCACTAATACAGTGAGAAAGAGGAGAGTGAAAGAGAGAGTGAGAGAATGAAAATGAAAATGCGAATGAAAAAGGGATAGATGGATAGATAGAGACAATGGGTGGATTGGCCACACAATGTGCTTGCCAAAAACCCAATTCAATTTCCAAGTAATGAAAAGAGGAAATTCGCTTAATTCCACGTATTGTTAAGTTGGACGCAATCGGAGCAGTAACGGCCAACCAGGCACTGTGTAAGCGTAACCGAAACAGAACCCGTTACAGATCCAGCAGCAGCAACAACAACAACAGCAGCAGCAACTGCAAACGGAGTCAGTGCAGCAATGGCAAGTGCCACAGATTCCAGTGTCAAATGCGAAACCGCGTAATTGTTTTAAAATGCGAATAAGCGAAAATGGCAATAAAGTCGTTTGGCTAAAAGCAGCGCAAAGCGCACTTTGCAATTTAAATAAACGAACAACGAAACGAAATATACGAGCTTGATACACTCTGACAATCTGACACGTCTGGCAGTCTGACAGTCCGACAGTCTGCCAGTCTGGCTGTGCAGTCATCATCAATATTCTAGTATATCGGGGACAAGAAAATAACGAGCCGAACATACCCGAACATTGCCAAAGACAAGCGACGAATAAATAATTTAGTTGCCGGATTAGAGAGCCACAATCCGCTTTTGAATTTACACTCAAGTTACTTCCATTAGTGGCATTTGGTGAACGTACAAAACTATTGCATATCATTAGGCGCTGCCTCTGCCGCTGCCCTTGCCACTGCCTCTGCTGGCGTCGCTGCCTGCAGTTGTCAAGCAGCGCACGTTGCTTGCATAATCCACGCCCCAAACTTATAACACCAACTTGGCAAAGGAATTGGCCCAGCCTGACAGTGAAACAAACGAACCAGAATGTGGAACGGGCGACGACCACGACACGGTCCGTGTCTGTGTTATTGTGTCCACAAAATGGCAAAAAAAAAAAAAAAAAAAAACAGCGAGGAGGAAGAAAAGCCATGCAACTTGATTAAACTGCCAAAATTGAATGTATAGGCGACTATGATTA